CGGTGTGCCATTCCCGAAGCCCGTGGCATCTGACACTGGCATCTGAGCCGGGGCCGGCTTTCTGTTTGTCTGTGTGTTTTGTGCATGCTCTTGGATTGCCACGCTGCTGTATCTAAACGTTAAAAAAAGCCTGTCTTTTCGTTGAAGAGGACAGGGGTTAAAATGAACGAAGACCCGAAGGTCAATGTAAGCGGGCTGCCTCGGGATTATCTAGATGCCACTGCTGCGGAGAACGTCTCGGCTGCTGTCACCTCCCAGGTGCCTGCAGTAGAGCCCGAGCCCGAGCTGGCGGTCAACCCCTGGGACATCGTCCTGTGCACCTCGGGAACCCTCATCTCCTGCGAGAATGCCATCGTGGTCCTCATCATCTTGCACAACCCCAGCCTGCGGGCGCCCATGTTCCTGCTGATAGGCAGCCTGGCTCTCGCAGACCTGCTGGCCGGCGTGGGACTCATCATCCATTTTGTCTTTGCCTACCTGCTTCAGTCTGAGGCCACCAAGCTGGTCACCATCGGCCTCATTGTCGCCTCGTTCTCTGCCTCTGTCTGCAGCTTGCTGGCCATCACCGTGGACCGCTACCTCTCGCTGTATTACGCGCTGACCTACCACTCGGAGCGAACGGTCACGTTCACCTATGTCATGCTGGTCCTGCTCTGGGGGACGTCCATCTGCCTGGGGCTGCTGCCCGTCATGGGCTGGAACTGCCTCCGAGACGAGTCCACCTGCAGCGTGGTCAGGCCGCTCACCAAGAACAACGCGGCCATCCTCTCCGTCTCCTTTCTCTTCATGTTCGCCCTCATGCTTCAGCTCTACATCCAGATCTGCAAGATTGTGATGAGGCACGCCCACCAGATAGCCCTGCAGCACCACTTCCTGGCCACGTCGCACTACGTGACCACCCGCAAAGGGGTCTCGACCCTGGCCATCATCCTGGGGACCTTTGCTGCCTGCTGGATGCCTTTCACCCTCTACTCCCTGATAGCGGATTACACCTACCCCTCCATCTACACCTATGCCACCCTCCTGCCCGCCACGTACAATTCCATCATCAACCCTGTCATATACGCGTTCAGAAACCAGGAGATCCAGAAAGCGCTCTGCCTCATCTGCTGTGGCTGCATCCCGTCCAGCCTCGCCCAGAGAGCGCGGTCGCCCAGCGACGTGTAGCCGCACCCGGGAGGACTCTGAGTTCACCAAGCACTTCCACTGCCCGGCCAAGGCCCAGGGCTGAGCTGCTGCCCTTGGATTCTTTGCACTGGATTCTCTCTCCAGCCACAGGAGCACTTAGCATTTGCGAAGCAGTGACATCATTTAGATGAGTTAAGTGATTAAAGTGGAAGTAATGTTACCAGTGTTTTCACCATTTAAAAAAAAAAAACAAACTTGATTTCTTCGCTCAATATTATTTCGTTTTGTTTGGGGGCAGGAGTTTTGTTATATATTTTGCTTGGAGGTTTGTTGGGGGCTGGGAACTGAAAGGATATGATATGCCATGAAGTTATAGAAAGTCAACGGGTCCCAGGGTTTTTACCTGGACTTTAAAATAAATCTGAGTTATTGAGGAAAATTGAGAAAGAATTACTTTTTCCAGAATTACTTTTTTTTTTAATGTGAAGGTAAGATTTTCAATGCTGCATGTGTTCAACAGAATATGATCCCTTTCAAGCCAACAAAAATAGTTTACATAATTATGTTTGGAAGGGACCTGATTTTGTTAACATGAATGTTTAGTAACAAGTCATCACCACTGAAACCACAAACGGAACCCGAACCCGTTCTTATCTGTTCATTCTTTCCTACCAGCAGTTACCGTTTGTAAGAATTGCTTGGGTATTTCTATAAATGTTGCAACTCCTTCTGCACATCTGCCTGTGTTAGCTAGACCACTAGTTTCAAATGTTGCCGTATAAATCCAGTCAAGGAGTCATTTTTCAATAGAGTTTTTCAATATATCCTTTCTAAAATGAATCATGGAGTGTGTTTTAATTTCATATGAAGTAGGATTGAGTCAATCTACCACTGTAGGAAACAAAAAAGAAACAAATTAATAATGGCTATGGAAAGTAAATTAAATGCAATATATTCTGAAAGGCAAATTAATGTAAAGCTACCATGAAACACGAAAGCATCCCCTTTCCTATCTCTGTCTAACAATATATTAATAGTTGGTCTTGATGGAGACGATTCGAATTAAATAACATAGAACAAGTTTTTCTGGTTCATGTTGTCTGTGGTGCAAAATGCATTTGAAACAGGTGGTCTCGGTTTTAATGATTACGTTTGCTTTTGAGTGCACAGCACACATCTGTGACTGTGACAGACATCAGCTCCATCCTGTAAGGTCACAAGCAGAATGATCATGTGGCTGTTCATGAAAAGTTAAAGTTTAAAGTCCTTTTCCTTCTTTTCACCAAGAAAAAAAAAATCCAACAACTTAAATGCAATAAAAACTGTATTGCCTGTTTTTAGAGAGCAAGAATTTGGTCAGGAAATTACCGAAAGGAATTCATTTTAAACATGTTGTAAAATCAGTGTGTCTGAGTGTCATTTCTGTTCATGCTGACAGATGTAGACACCTTCCCGTCATTTGTGGTGGATTTATAGCTGTGTCTGTACAACTGGTGGAAGAACTGCTTGGCAACACATCGACTTCACCCATTCAGATGGCGGCAAGATCAGTATTTTTCGGGATCCTTGGGAATCCCTGGTAATAAATGAATCTCGTGGGTCTGTCCCAAACGTCAGGCCCGCAGTGGTCTCAGGACCGTTCTGGGGTGGCTGAACCCTGATGCCGTCCCTTCAAAGCCTGCATTAGAAGATGTAGCACAAGTGTGAGTAAATCCTCTACTTGAATCTGTGTCTCCTCCTTGAGGTGATATAAGGAAGCAGGAGAGACACTGAAGTAGTTAAAGAAGTGGGAAAGGATTTTCAGTACGTATCACTGTATGATCCGTGGGATCACGTGGATGCCTTTAAAACTTTTCTTTTGAACATTTGATGGTTGGTAGATTGACGATGATGAGTCTGTTTTTAATCACTGAAAATGTAATAGCATCTCTATGGGAGAACCGATGAAGGTAGGTTGGCTTTGATGTGGGCTGGGGAATATGCATAATGAGGTTTTAAAGCAATAAATGATGTTTTTGGTAGAAATGGCGGCTCCATTTGCATATCTCCAATAGTAAGAATTATGATGGTAATAACATGGACCGGTTTTGACCACATGTGGACGCTGTGTGCTTTACCTGGTCTTTTGCTAATATCACAAAAACACACTTTTGCAGGGGAGAAAACTAAGACGAAGAGAGGAGAGAGGCTAAGAAATCTGCCTGAGGCCACAGAGTCACAAGGGTGGAAGCAGAACTTGAAGCCCGGTTTTCCAAAGTCCAAGTCCTGCTCCTCCCTACGTGCCATCTTCCACCCCTCACTGGAAAATGAGGGTGTAGGAAGCTGATTTGTAACCTGCTCCTGTCACCAAGTTTGGTTCCACAATGAAGACAGAAAGCCTCCTGTTTAAAATGATGTGTGGTGTGACTGCAGTGTGGCCCTACGTGAAGGAGGTCTGTTCTTATCGTGATATCAAGATGCAATGACCTTGCAAACAAACACAAGTTAAGTGGTTGCTTTGGGCCCTGTGTTTTCAAAACATCTGATTTCAGCTTAGAGATTTTTCAGTGCAACTCTAACGTGTCCTTACTGCTTACTTTAAATTGTGAAGATTTTTGGATGTTTATGTGGTTTTCTACAAGGCTCATTTTTTTTCCTATGGAGTTAATTATTTTAAAATGTGCACATATCTCAATATATTTTTATGTGTGTACATACGTATATCCAATAACATTAACTTTGCAACAGGGCTGTCATGGAACACAATCATATTTCCAAAAGTCCTGAGGTAGCAGGTAATCTTTTATTCCATGTAATTAAAATTTCTAGCTACTGAGGAATTTATATTACTTCCACAAGAAAGTTATCCTTATAACTAGGACAATTCATCACCTTATCGGAATCCTAGTAACCCAGGTTATAGTTAGGAAACTAGTAACCCAGGTTATGGCTGTCCAGAGCTTTCTTTTCTTTTATCCCTTTATTTATTTATTTGTTTTAGTCAAGTTTGTTTGTTTTTGTTTTTTTTGAGTTGGAGTCTCACTCTGTAGCCCAGACTGGAGTGCAGTGGCCGCTCCCGGCCACCGCAGCCTCGACCTGCTGGGCTCCGGCGATCCTTCCGCCTCAGCCTTCCAAGTAGCTGGAACTACAGGTGTGCGCTACCACGTCCAGCTAATTTTTTGATTTATTGTAGAGATGAGGTCTTGCCAAGTTGCCCAGGCGGGTCTCGAACCCATGGGCTCAGGCAATCCACTCACCTCAGCCTCCCAAGGCGCGGGATTACAGGCTGAGCCACTGAGCCCGGCAAGTTTGTTTCTTTACAGTAAAGAGACCATCACCTGTCTGGTACCTGGGGGAAGAGCAGGGTGAAAGCAGAGCACCTACCTCCCTGAAAGCCTAAATTGAAGAGCCATGTCCAGGAGAGGAGGATTCCTCGGTTGACTTGCCTTGTGGAAATAGTCTTAGGTTCTTCCAGAATTTAAAGCAGGATTGAAACAAGAAGCTTAAAAGAGCAGAGAAAGAATAGAGATGGTTAGTGCCAATAAAAATATCACAGAGACCTCGTAAACTTTTTTTAAAATGCTTAATTCATTATTCAAATAATAATTGAACTTTATTTCACGGTACTATATGTATCCTATGAAGTTAGGATGGCTTACCATTTCAGATGTAAGATACATATCAAATAACTGGCTATTATGGTGTTATTACAAATCATGTTTAAGTTTTCACCTTGATAGTATGCCTCGTATAATAAAGGAACAGATTGCCTTGCCACCTTTAAAAATTTTTATGATCATTGGATGTTTTTGGTATCTAGTTATCTATTTAAATCTGTTTAGAATTTTAAGAACCATTGAACTAGGAGTTTTATACATCATGATCTGAATCAGCAGACGAATCTGTCTTCTAGCAAATATTGCAGAAAAAAAATATTGGTAATTTTGACTAGGGCTCCTTGAAATTAAATACATAGAGGGTCTACATATCACCTGGGAATCTTGATAAAATGCAAATTCTGCCTCGGTGAGTCTGGATCATGGCTGAGTTTCCTACGATCTCCTGGGTGATGCTGATGCTGATGGTCTGTAGACGACACTGTGTCGCAGGGATGTGCCACACTTTTGGCATTCTTAAAATACAAATATGATATATAAATATATAAATAAATATATATTTAAAGTGTTTATCCTTGTCAGATGACTATCGGTGTTCAATGAATAGGAACTTTTCGTAGAATATCTCAGTATCTACTAAAGATCTATAAATGTATTTTTTTTCCATGTACGTGATCTCACTTTTTAAAATCCTAATTATCATTACCTTAAGACAGTTCTTCCAGAAACCTCATACATATACAATGTGTTTACCTAGCAACAAGTTTTTTGTTGTTGTTATTTGCTTGTTTTGTTTTTGTTTTGTTTTTGTTTTGTTTTTGTTTTTGTTTTTTTGAGTTGGAGTCTCACTCTGTCGCCCAGACTGGAGTGCAGTGGCTGCTCCCGGCCACCGCAGCCTCGACCTGCTGGGCTCCAGCGATCCTTCCGCTTCAGCCTTCCAAGTAGCTGAAATTACAGGCACGCACTACCCGCCCAGCTAATTTTTTGATTTATTGTAGAGATGAGGTCTCACCAAGTTGCCCAGGCGGATCTCGAACCCATGGGCTCAGGCAATCCACTCACCTCAACCTCCCAAGGCGCGGGATGTTTGTTTGTTTTGAGTTGGAATCTCACTCCATCATCCAGGCTGGAGTGCAGTGGTACACTCACGGCCACCTCAGCGTCGACCTGCTGGGCTCTGGCAACCCTTCCGCCTAAGCCTTCCAAGTAGCTGGAACTATGGGCGTGCACTACCACGCCTGGCGAATTTTTTATTTATTGTAGAGATAAGATCTCACCAAGTTGCCTGGGCTGGTCTCGAACCTGTGGGCTCAGGCGATCCAATCACCTCGGCCTCCCAAAGTGCTGGAATTGCAGGCTGAGCCACTGCACCTGGCCAACAAGAGTTTTCACCTCCATTTTTCCAGGAAGGACCTTTTTCTGTAGGACGTGAGTGGTTTGTGTTTGCAGGCTGTGTGGACCTGCATGAATTCATCTTGAGATAATTGGGATGAAAACCTTTGTTCTCTGGGCTCTGGAATTCAACTGAACTCACCCCAAAGCAACCTTTTGCTAGACAGATACATCAGAGAAATTTTTAAATAGCTTGCTTTCATTTGACATTTATCTGTAACTTTTCCTTTTTCGGTATCAAAAATACTATTAATGTTAACAGTTACCCTGGTCACAGTTACTGCTTCCTTTCTGCCCAAGGAGGTATGTATTTTTTTGAGTCAGGATCTCACTCTGTCATCCAAGCTGGAGTGCAGAGGCACGATCATAGCTTACCATAGCCTCGACCTCCTGGACTCAGGTGATCCTCCTGCCTCAACCTCCGAAGTAGCTAGGACTACAGGCTCAAGCCACCATGCTCATCTAATTCTCTTATTTTTTACATAGATAGGGTTTTGCTGTGTTGCCAAGGCTGGTCTTGAACTCCTGGGTTCAAGCAATCCTCCTGCCTTGGCCTCCCAAAATGCTGGTATTATAGGTGTGAGCCTATAATATTTTTTTTTATCCATTAGAAGTACATTAAAGCACATAGTTGAGGTGAATTTTAAACCATAATTTAAATATTTCCATTGTGTAAGATACAGAAGGGAATTTTTTTAATTATAAAAATTCAAATGCTGGCATCAAGCACCAGTGAACAAACGTTTAATTGAAAATAAGTTTGCAGCAGAAATGAAAACATTTACTAGGGCACGGATTCCCTTGGTACTTGACTATTTGAACAGACAGTTACAAGTAGAATATTTTTAAAGGCAGAAAAGTATCTTACAGAATTCTCTGTAAGGTTTAGATTTGCATTTTTCATTAAGCAGTACACTGTGAATCCATGGAATTCTTATTTGGGTTGGTGAAAAAATAAGCCTTCCACATAAGGATGTCTCTTACAGACATTATGTGGTTACCGGGGTAAAACCTAAGGGAACATTGATTCTGATCCAACCATATCCTGACTCCTTCCAGAATCCTTTTGAAACATGAACGAATTTATTCTGGGATTCTATAGGCTTTTATGATTGGAAGAAAGCTTATGGAGTAGAATTTTCTATATTAAATATAAATCATCTAAGTCAAATATCTTTGGAAACGGAAGTTGTGTACTTTCGCTCAATGCTTAGCAGTTTTTATTTTATTTTGTTTTGTTTTTGAGATAAAGTTTCACTCTTGTCACCCAAACTAGAGGAGTGCAGTGGCACACTCACGGTCACTGCAGCCTCGACCTGCTGGGCTTAGACAGTCCTTCCACCTCAGCCTTCCAAATAGCTGGAGCAGTTTTCTAATATTCCGAATCTCAAATCTTTCTTATTACACTCTAATTTTATTTTTGTTTTGGCCTGTCCCCGTGGAGATCCAGAGAACCCCCTAGTCTCAGCCAGCACTGATATATTGAAAATATTCATGAAACAAGAGTGTTCTCGTCTTTCTCAAATAAAATTATTCCAATTAGTTAAACCATTTATTTCTGATTTTGTTTTATTATCCTCTTGATCATTTTGTCTGTGTCATTTACCATTTCTATACATACACCTTCAATTCTACTAGTCAAAATGTGTATACAATAATCTACTAGACCAGGGGTCCCTAACCCCCGGGCCATGGACCTGGTACCAGTCTGTGGTCTATTGGGAACTGGGTCGCACAGCAGGAGGTGAGAGGCAGGAGAGCAAACTCCGTCTTCTGTCAGATCAGTGGTGGCATTAGATTCTTATAGGAGTGCAAACCCTTTTGTGAACTGCACATGTGAATAGGTTGTGTGCTCCTTGTGAGAGTCTAACACCTGATGATCCCCACCCCCAAGTCCATGGAAAAATTGTCTTCCACAAAATCAGAGCCTGATGCCAAAAAGATTGGGGACTGCTGTACTAGACAGAATGCTACTACGTAGAGCAGAATGATGGATTACTCTCTGCTTCTGCTTACCATAGAGCTGTGGGTCTTTGA